TGAAACTGAGCACGACCTTGTTAGTGACCCACCACCCTTGTCTCCTCACAATGAACCTAATCCATCTACCGACCCCTCAGCCTAGCCTCATGTTATAGTCACTCACTCCAAACACAACATCCATAAATCAATTCAAAAGCTTAACCTTACTGCCCAACTCCAACCATATACCCTTGAACCCACCACTGTTACCCAAGCCCTCAAGGACCCTAAGTGGTGACAAGCTATGTCTGAAGAGTTTGATGTTTTAATTCGTAATGGGACATGGGAACTAGTGACATTTCATCCCATTCAAAATTTGGTTGGTTGTAAGTGGATGTTTCGCACCAAATATCTACCTAATGGCTCTATTGACAGGTACAAAGCTTGATTGGTTGCTAAAGGCTTCCACCAATGCCCTGGAGTTGACTACTCTGAAACTTTAGTCCAGTCATCAAACCTACCACTCTTCGTCTTGTTCTCAACCTTGCGGTTAGTCAGTGTTGATCACTCAGACAACTTGATATCAACAATGCCTTCCTTCAGAGAACTCTCACTGAGGATGTGTTTATGTCTCAACCTTCGGGATCGTGACCATCCTTATCACGTATACAAGCTACGCAAGGCTATTTATGGCCTCAAGCAAGCTCCCCATGCTTGGTACCATAAGTTGCGCCAATTTCTTCTCCAATCTGGCTTCACCAATTCAGTTGCCGACACCTTCTTATTCATCTTCAACGATCGTTGCACCACTCTTTATCTCCTAGTCTATGTCAACAATATCATTATCACTGGGCATAATGCCAATGCTACACAGGCCTTCATTCAATAACTCTCTCAACGCTTCTCTCTCAAGGACCTTGGCCCCCTGACATACTTCCTTAGAGTGGAAGTCACCTCTCACAACAATGGTCTTTTCCTCAGTCAACGAAAATACATTGCTAATCTCCTTAATAGAACTCACATGACTAAAGCCAAGCCTGCTCCTACACCATTAGCAACTAGCCCAACTCTCACTTTACAATCTGGGACTCCACTATCAAATCCGACCGAGTATCGAACAATTATTGGTAGCCTACAATATCTCTCACTCACTCGGCCCGACGTTACCTATACAGTGAACAAACTCTCTCAGTTTATGCATCAACCAACCAGTGACCACTGGAATACGGTCAAGTGTCTACTGTGGTATCTCTGTGGCACCTTAGAGCATGGCATCACACTCCGTCAGACCTCCCCACTAGCACTTCATGCCTATTTAGACGCTGATTTGGCATGTAACAAAGACGATTTCACCTCCATTAGTGCATACATAGTCTATCTCGGTCACAATCCTATTTCTTGGAGATCCAAGAAGCAACGTACAATGGCTCGCTCTTCCACTGAGGCAAAGTACCAATCGGTGGCCTCCACAGCTGCTGAAATTCGATGGATTTTCTCTCTCCTTCCAGAACTAGGTGTCACCCTTCCCCAAAAACCAATTATTTAATGTGATAATGTTGGCGCCACAAATCTCTGTTCCAATCTGGTCTTCCACTCACACATGAAACATGTTGCTCTTGACTATCACTTTATCCGAGAACAAGTTCAAAGGTTTACTTCGGGTGTCACACATCTCTGCAGCTGATCAACTTGCCGATGCTCTTACCAAACCTCTTGTTCATCCTTAATTTGACTCTCTCAAGGTCAAGATTGGACTTGCTCCATGGTCGTCCATCTTACGGGGGCATGATAAAGATATACATTCAAGTTGAGAAAGTCAAGGGATAAAATCAAGGGATTTTCACGTTTGGATATTTCTTTGTAATTATCTTTAGTATCTGGCAGTTACACAATTTATTTTGTTTCATTTTTATTAGTAGTTAGTTTCCTTCTTTTGTGCTCACATAATCTGTATATATACTACCCATATCAATAAGAACAGCAAGCCATATATTTCTTCATCCTATTATCTTCTATAATAAGGTTGTAGCGAAGAGAGTAGGAGGTAGAGGAAGAAGAAAGGAAAAGTTGTGGCAATCAACAAGAAAACATCACTAGAAGCAGCTGAATCGTGAATCGTGAATGGCAGGGGAGTATTCTTTATTCCTTTTTAGTTATTTTCTTTTGCATTTATTTATTTTCCATGTTCATCTTTAAGTTTAGGGTGTGTTGTGCATTTAGTTGCATTTGTAATTAGTCATGTTTTAATTCATCTCTGTTTTATGTTAAATCATGTCATTTATATGAGTAAATAAACTAGGTAACTACAATTGATTGCACACACTTACAAGTAGAAAAACTGCTCTTAGGGTGAAAATCTTGCATTTTGAAGGAAATGTATAGGAGGAGAGTTATTGAGAAAAGAATTAGTGAATATCAAGAGAAGAAGATCATGAGAGCTGAACCAAAATTAAAGAAACAAGGGAGATTGCATTCGGCCTCTCATAGAGCTTTCTCTACTTTAATTCCTTTGAATTAGAAAGATGTTTTCTTGTGTTCAATTGATTTTATCTTACTTAGCCATGAACTAAACTCACTCGACTGGGATTGTTGACCAAGTGGATGTTGTAACATAATATTTTAAATCATTCTTGAATGTTTGAATTAGAAAAGGAATCAACTTCGATTGGTTGGCCACTATTTAGTAAAACCCTAAGTTACATTTAATACTAGAATGATTAGATTTAACTGGATCTTGATTAGTTAATGTAAACTTGCTATACCTTCGGAGACTGTCTCCAGAAACCTCCAGCCAAAGCTATTGAACAGATATCTCCGTTTACAAGAGCCTGCGAGGAGCCCAGATCCTCCGGATATAAGCCTTCAACTCAACTACAGTGCATAGACAATACCTCTTTCTTCTACAATGACAAATATTTTGTGAATTTGGTAACTTTTTTCGGGCAATTTTTAGCCTTTAGTCTTTTAAGTATATCAAGATTGTGTATCTTGTTTAATGGTGAAGGTTTCAAGTTCTGTGCACAAAAAATCACCTTGACAAATATGAGCATAAATAGACTAAGAAGCCTTTCCTATGCAAAAAAAGAACATGTATGGGGGACAAAAAATCACTTTGACAAATGCCTTCTGAAGACCTAAAAGATTATAATATGATGATACAATTTTTAATAGCGAACATGATGGTTCAATGGCCTTCTCAATTCCTCGGATTCTAGTAATATAATATATACTTGATCATTGTTTATCGATAAAGATGCTGAACAATATTTTATGTGGCAGGGAATGTCAATTGTATCTGTGGGCCGTAGAAAAGCTTTTCTTTACTATTACAACAATTACAAATATATGGGTTCGAGTGTACTTAAGCACACTATATCTTGCAATTTAATTTGTGTTTTAGGTCCTAGTGATTACAGAGCAACCCAAGATCATCCAAAAACAAAAACAGGAAGCACTGACATATAGGAACCATCCCTTGAGGTTACTTCGAAAACAATACTATTTATTACGGAGCAAAAGATCAGATGTAGCAGCATAGCATGTTAGTCATAAGGCTTTCTCCATTGTGTTGGGACCGTCGGCGCACTCCATGGCACAGCGGAAACAAAACTCAACGGTCTCACCAGTGATCCAAGTACGAAAAACCGAAATCGGGAGGAAGAGATATGAATGCTTACAGTGGGTTCCTTGAAAACAGTAAGAACAATAGTGAATACGGTGGTGTAGATTGATTCGAATCGAAAGCCTCCACGAAATCACGTCTCGGCCTCTACTCAGTTCACCTGATTGAGAGCAATATTTGTTTTGTGTGTTTGTTGCAAAAACGGCTGCTAGACCTAACATACCCTTTTAAGCCAAGTTATTCTAATCATATTAGGGTTTTATTATTTTAAATTAATTAAATCTATATTTAATTAATTAGAATTTAATAATCCTCATATATCCAAGTTATCCTAATCATATTGGAGATTTTATTATTTCAAATTAATTAAATCTATATTTAATTAATTAATTGAAATTAAATATTCGGGATTATTAAAACATATATTTTAGTAACGTACAACAAATTGTACATCTTTGTTCATTTCAATCCTAGGGTGTGATCTTGTAGGTTCTTATAACGTTAGCAGTAATTATTAGAACAATTTTAATATTACATACAATAAGTGAAATCTAGCAATATATCATTGTCACCTAAGTTACAAGAAAATATGATTCGATATATCATCTTGGTGATTACTCTTTTATGTATTACATCCTTATGTCATTTATATCTAGAATAGGCACAAGTCTTGGAATAGTTACACTTGTATAGCCCATCTAGTGTTTCTTGATATCTAGAGCAGACTTTAATTAACGAATAGTTTATGATATCTCATATCAACTTATTCGAGCATGACCATGCATTTCTAGTCTTACTCAATTAAGTGGTCTGTTATATATTTCCTATTATGTAGAAAGGACAAATCCTATCTTAATCGTACACACTCACTACATATATTGAGATATATTCAATAACGGTCTTTATAGAGCAACCAGTTACGGAGCTTGTTTAGCTGCATCAAAACATACAACAATATATGTTGGGATAGTATTGATCTCAAGTCTGAGGATTATACATATAATCATCACCATGAGCAATGTTATGACTGTCACATAATAATCCAAGATATATGCTCATGGTCGGTCAATCCAATACATTGTTCTCTAACAATATAATCATGTATCAATTCTGACATCTCTATGTCAATGACAACTCATTGTCATCAATCAATAACATTTTAGTCTTAAGCGTATTATTATTGTTCATGCCCATAATAAAACTTGACTATGGATCTTTTAATAATAACAATTATGTCATTATATGGACTTTATTATCTTTCAGTTTATATTAAACACATATATATAAATGAAAATAATAGCGGCAATGCCTTTATTCAATAAAATCGATAAATAAAAGTATTATTACTATCATCATATGATTCGTCTTTGAGCATATCAGTATGAAGAACTTGTGCTTGAAACAAAGTTACCAATCAATCAAATCACACATCTTTGTTTTGTAGCATTGACAAAGGCTACAAAACAAAGATGAGTCTCTGTCTCTTCATAATCTCAGCTTTCAGCTTCAAACCTTGAGTCATTGTCTCTTCATTGTTAAATGCTTGTTTTATTGTCTCTAAGTCGGTTGCAATTTGTTCAGCTTCCTCTTCAGGCTTCTTGTCAGCAATAGGAGCTTCTTCCTTCTCCTTCCGATCTTTTTCATCTATGGATTGATATAATAGTGAGATAGTGTTGTTCAACAAAGTCAATAATTGTCCATGATTAATGCTGGTTAATTCCATTTTATCCCTCAAATCGTTGAAGCTACTCTTCACCTCCAAAAGGGAATTCTGCAACCTAACTATCAGCATGTTCACAACAATCCACATAACACACTTCTTCGTGTAGCTCAGAATTTTCACTTTCACCGGTACGTTTTTCTCCAAGAAACTCCTCAAGAAAGTTCAGAATCTTCTTCTGCAGACCCTTTAGTTCCTTATTGTTCATTTCCAACACTGTTCTAGCTGCATCCCTTTCCTCCAATAACTTCTCCATTTCTTCAACAAAGTTCCTATCATTTTCGACCATTGCCGTCATCTTCTCTTTCATCAAACTATCCTCATTTCTTCCCAAATCCCTCTCGTTACAGTAAAAACTCAATATTTCTCTCTCTTTTTCAAGACTACCTAATAGTACATTCATCATACGATACAACGCCTCAATTACCCTTACCCTCTCAGCACTCATTTCCTTCCTTTGAGACGCCATATAAACCCAAAGCAACTCGTATTGCAACCCCATGCTCATACTTTGATTCAACTGATCCTGAAAGACATATGCTTTCAACAAATAATTGAATACGTTCTGGCTTTTCTTGGACCATCTTGACAAGCACCTCGTTTTTAGAGTGAAGTTGTTTTTCCTTCTCATTAGGGTCTTCCATGGAAGATTGGCCGCTCAAATTGCTGGAAAATTGCATAAAGGTTGACTCTTTTGGATGTTCTTGAGTTTCCTGAGGTGGGTTTTGTTATATGGGGTCTTTGGATTGAGGGTATGTTTCTTTCTAGCCTTTCTTGGCAGGATTGGAGATAGATAAAGGAAGGATGAAATTCTTGAAAGGATTCAAATCTGGGGATCTAAGAAGAAATACGATGATTTTATGGTGGAATGGTGTGGCTACATGCATATATATATATATATATACCTTAAGAGTGAAGTTTTTAAGTTCTAAACTTGGGATTTTCATTTTAAAAGTAGAGAAAATAACCTCAGTGACCAAAAATGCCTTATAATATACAATTTTAACCAGCTTTTTTTGGATTTGCCAAAATGACCAACTAAATCGCAATGCGATCGATAATTCGCAACGCGATCTCCGGTATCGCAAATCAGTTTCCAGATTCGCAACGCGATTCTGACTATCGCATTGCAATTTTCCAAATTCGCGTTGTGATTTTCCGACTATCGCAATTCGAATATGTAAATCGCAATGCCAGTATGACTATCGCAACTCGATTCTGACTATCGCAACGAGATTCTGACTATCGCAACGCGATTCTGACTGTCGCAATGCGATTTTCAAAGCGCCATTATTATCGCAACGCGTATTTTTTTTCAAATTCCAAACACAAATATTAATTTATCAGAACACTGAACCGTCCACAATATATCCCGTAATCGTAACTCATAACCTAAAACCCTAAATCACAACTCAGTCCCATCTTCATCTCTCACTCTCTAAGGTGACATCCATCCCCATCTCCGATAAAATCATTTCCCATCTCCGGTGAAATCCGTCTATCTCCATCTCTCAGAGCCACCCTCACAATCATTCACGGTCAGAAATGGAAAATCAACCAAATCAACCACCGAGGGTTAGTTTTTTAATTATTTTTATTTTGAAATTTTTGCATTATTATTAGGTTTTTCATATTGAAATTGATGATAAGTTTACTGGTAATTTCAATAATTGATTAACCATTTCATTTAGATTGCTTATTAAATTCATTCGATTGCTGCCAATACTACTAAACTGTTTAGTCTTTAAACTCTGTGAATTTAGCATTTGTCTTTGTTTTGTCTTTTGGTTGAAGTAATGCAATCCATTCAAGTTTCAATTTTAGTATTTGAAACCGAGAATCGCAACGCGAAATGAAAATCGCAATGACAGAATCGCAATGCGATTTTAGTTTCGCGTTGTAATTTTTATTTCGCGTTGCGATAGTCAAATTCGCGTTGCGATAGTCATTTTCGTGTTGCGATTTTCATTTTTGTGTTGCGATTTTAAGTTTCAGAAACTATTCTTCTTCTGCAAATTGAAACTTGAATGAATTGCATTACTTCAACAAAAAAAAAGACAAATACTAAATTCACAGTGTTGCAAATTTAAGTTTGAAGAATAAACTACTACTCTTTATGTTTATTGTTCTTGGTATATCTTCACAGTGTAGTTTTTGGTATATCTAACTTGGTATGTTTATTGTTTTTGTAGAACTTTTATTCGGCTCAATTGACCTTAAGAAATAAATTAAGCCTGACCAAAACAATTGCGTCGAAACTTTCACCTGCACAAAGAAAAATATTTCAGGATACTTGCTTCGAGCCATGGTTGAAAGTACAACATCCGGGTGGAGATGCTATGTTGACCCATCTGTTTCTTCAAACCATGACTAGCGATCTACCAGAGACTATACAACGTCGTGATGAAGAGATATGGTTTGATTTTCCACCGGCGTATACGTGTTTTGGGCGGGAGGAGTTTTGCTTAATCACCGGTCTACGCTTCGGACACGATGATGTAGGTCGGTACACTAGACATATTACCCGCCTATCATGGTTATCCCGGGTTTTTCCTGAGCTGTCAATGGAGAAGTCGAATTTACACGTGGAAGACTTGATGAGATTATTGAATAAGAAAGATGGTTTTACTCGGATGGATGACGTCGATGTTGTCCGAGTATGCCTTCTAATACTTTTGCATGCCGGCTTTTTAGGCAGAGAGGCCAGACAACCTATTCCTAATGATCTAATTAAATTGGTAGAGGACCTAAATGCATGGAACCTATTTTTTTGGGGTTCGTATCTATGGAAAGCTACATGGAATAAGTTGTCGTCTGCCTTTGATGATCGAAAAAGTTTGCGTGGCGATGGTTCCAAATACACTTTGTCAGGCTTTATTTGGGCCTTTAAGGTAAGAATTTTTATATAATGTTTCCAAAATTATAATTAATTATTATTTAACAATTACTAATGTTTGTTATTATATTGTTTGTAGATTTGGATATTTGAGGCATTTCCCGCCATGCAGACATATGCATTAAAAACTTCTAATGATATTCCTAGGGATATTTCCTGGAAGAGGAAACAGACCTTGCAGCAATGGGAAGATTTACTACCGTATACGACAATAAATAATGTAAGTTAACACAAATACTACTATATGTTTATAAACAAGTTATTACTAGTACACGTTTAACTTTGTTTGAGCTTTTATATTGTTAGGAGTCCAACACTCCATTACAGAGGCTGACACCCATGGAAGCTGAGCTTGCCACTGATTAGTGGCAAGATAGTAAGTTTTTTTTATGGCACGGATGATGAGCAGCCTCCACTTCGAGAGCCATCACCTCACCCAGAGCCATCACTTGATCGACCCGACTATACACCTCCACAACGAGAGCCATTACCTATTCTGTCACATCATCGAGCCTCTTCTCCACCATCACCTCATGATAGGCGATCGGAAAAGATGCCACGACGTTTATCTCCATGTTCTCCACCTCCACGGGATGAGTTAGGGGAGTTACGTGATGAGGTCAATGCCTTGCGTGAGGAGGTCGGTACTTTACGCAATGACAATGGTGCATGGCGTGTTGAGGTGTCTACTTTACGTGGTGAGGTAGCCGCTCTACGTGAGATGGTAGCATCGTTGCAGAATGAGGTTCATACTCTACGCAACGAGGTAAGTTTAATATTTTTCATATTTAACTTGATGATAAATTTACTCGTAATTTCACTTAGATTAACCATTTCACTTAGATTAACCATTTCACTTAGATTGCTTAGTAAATTCTTTTGGTTGCTGTCAATACTGTTAAACTGTTTATTCTTTAACACTGTGAAGTTAGTATTTGTTTTTGGTTGTCTTTTGGTTGAAGCAATGCAATCCATTCAAGTTTCAGTTTACAGAAGAAGTGTTTACTTTCGCAACGTGAAAATGACTATCGCAACGCGAAAATGACTATCGCAACGCGAATTTGACTATCGCAACGAAAGAATTGCAATGCGAAATGAAAATCGCATTGTGATTCTCTCGTTACGATAGTCATTTTTGCGTTGCGATAGTCATTCGTGTTGCGATTTTAAGTTTCAGATTCTATTCTTCTTCTGCAAATTGAAACTTGAATGAATTGCATTACTTCAACCAAAAGACAAAGACAAATACTAACTTCACAGTGTTGAAAATTTAAGTTTCAAGAATAAACTACTACTCTTTATGTTGTCATTGAACATGCACTAAACCTATATGTTGTCCTTTTAAATGTTTATATAAGTGATTACTTCTTGAATGTTATCTGATGCATTTTGTGAACAATGATAGAATAATGACTTGGGTGAATACCGTGCAAGTTTGAAATATATTTGTCTTTGTTTTCACTGTTTAATATCATGTTTGTTTATTTACTGATTTATGTATTAATTTATTTTTAGCGGCCCGCTAAGGTGGATGCTCTACGTCAGGTTTTTCTTGCAAGATGGAGTTCACGCATTAGACGGCGTGCACGTGCCATTAAGTCTCCATTCACCCCAATAGTGCGAAGAATCCATAAGAAAAAGCCCGACTCACATGTCATCGTTCAAGAGGCCTCCCCTATCGTTCAAGAGGCCCCTATCATCCCTCAAGAGTCCCCTCCCACCGTTCAAGAGGCCACTGTCATCATTGAAGAGGTCCCTCACAACATTCTAGAGCCCGATTCACACGGCATAATATATCGAATTATTGAGAAACCCCTCACGTGCCGGACATGATAGATGACTGTTGGCTTTCGTATAAGTTACCGGCCAGTACCATTTCGGCAGATAAAGTGGAGAGGAAACAACTACCGGAAACAATTCTGGATAATACCCTTTGGGCTAAGACCGCAGTTTATTTTTATCTACATAAGCGGAGCCAAGGGTGTTACGCTGACATATACAAACTCAACGATGATATGCATTTGTTGATTGAACGGTCTTGGTGGGGTGTGTTATTAGGGGTTGAAGACAATGGCTATTTCGATAGGGGGTAAGTCTTATATTTCTTCTTATATTTCATTTTGATTAATTTTTTTTTAAATTTATGTAATTCACTAATGTATGTCTTTTTTTTGTAAAACAGCATATTGATGCATGGGTGTCACGTCTTCTAATAGTAAGGAAATTGAAGAAAAATAAAAATAAAAAAAAATACGCGAGATACAATTATGTCGACGTCTTTTCACGTAGTTCACTTGAAGAATCAACGACAGGAATCATATGTGTTGGCTAATGGACAAGCTAAACTTTATCCTGTATGGTGGGAGGTCGATAAGGTTAGTATTTTTTTAATATTTTAAAGGTGTTCATAAATAAGTGCGCAATTTGAATTATTACTTATGATTGCAGGTGTTTATCCCTGTTTTGGAATGTACTCATTGGCTTCTCATCGAGCTTCAGCTCCCATCCCTGAAGATAATAGTATATGACAGCATGATAAATTACATATCATTGTCTGATTTGAGAGATATTATTAAGGGACGGAGCTCTCATTTGGCTAAATTCTT